GCAGTGAACTGTGATAATAGTGATAACTGGAGTGATCTTGAAGTGGCTTATGTAAGAAACGTATAATAATAGCTGAGTAAATGAATAAATGAATAAATAAATACATAAAAGATTGAAAAAATACGATTGCACACGCAACATCAGAATATATTCATCATCGACAACCGGTACCTGTTGTGAATGTTGTTGATAAATTGGTGGAGGTGGAGGATTGCAGTAGCTAGTGGCCTGATGCACTGATTCTTCGAAACGTATGTGCTGCGGAGATGACCGATGTTCACACTAAAATCACGCAAACGTTTTTACAACTCCTCTAATTCACCACTCCTTAATGCCCAAAAAACACGAAATAAATTCAACTATATATCAGAAATTTTTCACGCAAACCCTTGCTTGCAGATACATTAAATAAAATCTCTTATGTTCCATTAATGAATCAGAATTACAATAATTTGAAAGCACAGGAAACGAATTCCCAGAAGGCGAGAAGTTTTTAATCCATTATTTCAATCTTTCGTCCTTTTCACTGATTCCACCACTTCAAATAACCTCATCAAATGCATCTTTTGAATGTCATTCCTAACCTACCTCAACTTTCTTACAACTAGAAATTACAGGAAAATATTGTCAAATACAGCAAATGATTCGAATTCGAACAATACGATTCGAATCGAGTCAAATAATCAACGATAACAACTCAACGTCTTCGCACGCACTATATAATAGTAAATCATCCACAAATGTATCTTTAAATTCCAATAATATCCGAAATAAACAAGCCAAATGATTAACCCCATCGAAGTTGTAATTGCTCTCAAGCACCTGAATGCGCATCATTGTTTCCAGATAATGTGCTCGCACACGAACCGCATTGAATTCCACGCGACCCTCTGGATTCGAGCACGATGCACTGCTGCATGGACACGGGAACGACGGACGATCAACCTTAATTTTCAAACAAATTATCTTTCTGTAATCCATTCGACCCATTCTATTTTCCACAAGATGACCAGCGAGAGTTTCTGACAACTTCTTTTCCATACACTAAATAATGAAACTCAAAAACATTTCCATCACCAATGCTCAATAACATTAAATAAAA